ACCTCCCATTCTTGTGCTGAAATTACAAAAGAAAGAGTGCATAGTACCACCTACTGTGTGCCACTCACACTCATTAATTCTACCCCTAGTAGTGCATCAGAAAACAGAATTTATAACGGCAGAGGAATTCAAACAGTGGTAACTCTTACTTGTGACCAAAGTCACCAGTGGCACAGACAACACCAGGAACCCATGGGTTCCTGCAAACCCATGCAACTTCTGAGCTGTATTTCCTGGGTAATTTGTTTTTCTTAGCTTGTTGCCTCAAACCGCAGCTCCCAAAGGAAGGAATTCACACCTTAACAAAATAAAATTACTCCACTTACCCAATCTTCTCTGAAAACAAGGATGATGATTGATAGACATACCCTTGCTAAGTGACTATTTCTAGGTGTTTCAAATGTAATCCTTTGCAAAATAATTCCACTTAGTAAATATTTTATGTTTCCAAAGTCACTTCACTAAGTTGGATCAAAGAGATTTAAAGTTCAATTTTAACACTAAACTTCACTTGAAATACATACTACTTAAAACACTACATTGAACTATATATTACAACTTTACTCTTTAAACTTACTTTTCCCCTTTTCTTCACTTCTATGCAGAAGCACCTAAACATAGCATTTTAGGATAGCAGGTAAGAAACCTGTTGGTGCGTATTACATAGAATTAGTACAATGATGCAAGTGGAATTGTTCCACTAACCAGTTTTTCTGACTTGGGTATTATGGCACAACACAAAATTCCTCACCTTAACTGTAAGCAAGTTGAAAAGCAGCACAGCAGGCATGGAATATGCTACAAGAGCCTAAATAAACGTGGAATGTAATAAAGCAAGGCAGTATGATGAGGCCTCTAAGCCACTGTCCCTCTGAACCTTCAAATGTCTATTTGGACATTCAGGTCTCTTCAGTGTATACTCTAGAACACAGTACACTTTCAGGCCACATACAAATTCAGCCCTGATCCCCATCAGATTCTCTAAACCGTACTGTAAGAAACCAAACATTCTTGTTATACATCTTATCTATATATTACATCTTCACCGTTACTACTTCACCATTTACAGATGATAGATTTATATTAAGATTAATTCCAGAGGGATGAAACAGGAAGTATGAGGCCCTAGACTGAAATAAGCATGAAAAATCACTGTCTGATTAATCTCTGCTACCAGCACCTTTAACGTCAGTGTAATGATAGCACTGAAGTTACTACACAAAGCAGAAAAACTCCAGAGAAAAAGCTCTGCTATTTAAATAACCGGTGTGCAACTTCTAGCAGATATCCTAATTGGAAAGAGCCAGGAAGAAGCAGACAATGTTAAAACACAGATCTGGAATACTTACTCTAAGTTGAAGAATTCCGAAACTTCAGATCTGTTTCCAGTTGTCAGTGACACAGATATGAGATTTAAAAAATCCCACCAAACCCACTTTAAACCAATGCAGAGGTAAATAACTGTTCTCATTTCACTTAAACCTACAGAAATTCTGCTGCTTCCCTCCTAACGCCAGGCTCAAGCTGCAAGTCATCTTGCAAGGACAGACTCTTCCATTTGCTGGCATCTCCAGTAAAGCTTTACAGACATGTAAAGGTCAGCCAGCATGGATACAACTATGGCTTTTCTTTGTGCTGCGATAAACTGAGGTGCTCCGTACCACAAACTGCAGAAACACTCATGTATCTTCACATCACATGAGTGAATTGGTTTAGACTACCTTGCCACTGCAAACACAACAGGTTACTCATCCAACACACCTCCCAGAATGAAGTACCCCACTTTAAAAGTGCCCAAGTCAAAGGTATGTTGAGAGAAGAAACTCTGGGGGACTCACCTCATAATGGCTCATCTACAGGAAAGCCATGACCTCAGTGTGGGAGAACAGTTCTGCACAGTAGGGTTCACACTAGCTTACCTTGTCATAGCTAGCTCTTACTAACTACTTCAACATTTTCACCACATTACAACTTGTTGTATCTCACCAGGATTCAGCATATGATAGGTCATTTTAATTTTGCATTTAAGAGAATGTTCTCTAAGAATACGCTTCTCACTAAAAAAAAAATTTACAATTAGGAAAGTCACGCACTAGTGGAGTTCAAACAATGCCCTTTAAAATAACATCAGTCAGGTCTGGATTCAGCTAGTACCCATTACCTGAATAAGAAGAGTACTACACTTCATTTTCTCAACTATGCAGGAAGTCAAACAAGGATGGGTAAAAACCAGAAAATTCTTAGTTCCTGTTTATCCTAGCAAAACCAAGACTTGTCTAAACCAAACTTAGATTTGATTATGCAGGCTCATTTGTAAATTATATGATTCTAAACCTTATATTAAATGATTATAAACGTTACAGATTTTAACACCTCTCCTTTCTCAGCCAGGGATTTTTACATGCTGAGACACTGCTTTTTTTCCCTAAACATTAAAGCAGAACACATGAAGCACTGCCAATCAACACCAACCTGGAATCAACAGCTTCTCTGAGAGCACTCTGATGAGCAGAATTAGGGAACAAAAGACTTCATCTAGTTCGAATGCACTGCTTTATTGTGTCATTATAAATGAAGTCAAATCACTGTAAAATCTTTCCTTTTATAATGCAGGGTTCATACATTAATGTTGCTAGAAAACTCACTAATTAGTAAGTTATAGTGCTTTAAAACACCCCAAGTGACCGGGAAGCCCTGTTTTAGAATAGGTATCCCTGTGGCATTTTTCCCAAAACACTCTGTGCATATATATATTGCTGTCAACATAAAATACTCATGATTCAAAGGCCAGTTGCAAAAACATGGCTAGTCAACACAAAGGCAAGAGTTCACCAAGAGTAATCTCACAGAATCAAGGACTTTGACTCTATTTTCACTCAGTGTACGCTTCTTATTCTTTCAAAACAGCTGCAGTGGAATGCTGACATATCTCCAGGCCTGTTTCTTCTGTCTCCTATGGGCTATACAACTACATGTGTCTGGTCAAAGCACTCATTGCTGTCTCCACAGATCCTTAAACAGATAGCAAAGAGATGGACTAAATCATTAACAAGTAGATAAACTGTCTGTTCCCTGTTCCAAAACCATGCTTTTCCACAAAAAGCACATTTCTTTTTATGGGAAATTATTCTTTTCACCAGTGTTCTTGGATTCTTCAATTTTATTTTTTCATGTAAGTCTTATCTCCTAAAAAATCGAACTACTTAGACATAAAAATATGGAGAAATTAAATTCGTTTCAATTACTTTTCAATTTCGGTAAAGACTTTTAATATCTTACTAATACTAACCCCTTTTTTTTGGATACCAGGAAGAAAGAAGGTTATCAATTATTTCTCATTTCTTCACACTGAGTATCTCTGAGTAACACAACCAGCAGTTTCAGGCCAAAGCTGTACATTCAATATAGGTCAGACTGCTAAAATGTAAGCAGCACTCCTTCGGACACACATTTAACTACAAAACATAGTGGTGACCACATGATAGGTCTATGTTCGCACATATTTTAAATTGCTAACTGATAAAGGGAAGCAGGTAGCCTTCCCAAGGCTCTTCACCTTAACCTGATGTTCTAGAAACACTTTCTGCATGCACTAGTTAACAGTTGTTTAGAGTAGGCCTGTCTTCCATATGCCGGCATGGCCTCAAAGGCCACATACAGTCCTCTCCACACACATGCCACAAATACCAGGACAGGCAGTCCTGAGCTCCAGTGCTGGACTGTCCTGCTGAAAACTCCTGTTCAAACCTACTGGAGGTGACTGATATGGCACCGACAGTGGGGAAAGTGCTTCAAAACGTCTGACTATAAGAGCAAAGCTGCTTAACATAAGCGAAAGGCCTCCAGGAGTTCTCCTTTGGAGAAAAAACAGTAGTTAACATAACCGATGGAATACGGTGACACTCCAAACACCACCACCTGCCAGCGGCGAAGACATTTTTCAACTCTTTGTTAAACTTAAAACTCATTTTCCGTACACCCAGGTCTTTTAAATAAACAAAGGGACGACTCCGTACCCTGTCTAACTGCACGACGCAACGCTGTTTCCCAACGACGCGTGATTGGGAGGAGAGCGCAGGGGTGGGGTGCGGGGTGCCGGCAGCCAAGAGCCCACCGGCCGGACCGGACCGGACCGAGCCGAGGCCGGCGGTCCCGCACTGAGCGCGGGGCCGAGGCCGTTCACCTGAGGGAGGGCCGCGGCTCCCGCTCCCGGGAGCGGCAACTTCGGGGAGCGGCGCCCGCGGCCTGTCCCCCTCCTATGGTCTGCCCAGCCCGGCCGCCTCAGCCACACGCCGGGCCCAGCCGGCGGTGGGGCAGACCTGGCAGCCCGCCCCCCTCCTCAGGAAGGGATCGGCCAGGCCCCGCTCTCACCTTTAAGAGATTAGACGTCGCCATGATCCCCCCCGCGGGGCCTCCCCGGCCGGCGGCGGCTCCTCTCCCCGAGCTCGGCTGGGCTGCCCCCGGCCGCTGCCGCTTTACATGGCCCCGGGCCGCCCGCCCGCCCGGCCAGACCCGCGGCGGCGGCAGTAGCAGCGGCCGCAGCGTTGGGCTCCCCTGCCCGAGAAGGAGGCCGGTGACAGGCTCAGGGCGCTCGGCAGCAGGACCGGCTCGTTGCTCCGCACGCAGCCGCCCCTCAGAGCCTCATGGCGGAGTCCGCGCAGGAGGCGCTCGGCAGCAACCGCGACTCCATGGAAGGGGCCGGCCCACATGATGCGGCGCCGCACAGCCAGCCCCGCCGCCAAGAGCGGCCGCTCGCGCTGAGGGCTCTGGCTGCAGCGCCCCCTGGCGGCCCGCCGCCGTCACGGCCCGCCCTGCGCTGCCGAGCTCGGCCAGCCGCAAGGGGGCCTTTGCCCTCAGGGCCCCGCGGGGACGCGCCCTGGTGCGGAGCCCCGCAGCTGCGGAGGGCGCCGGGCAGTGCCCTTGGGAGACAGCGGGCGGCGACCGTGCGGGGCGGCTCTGCCCCCCTCAGAGACATCCCCCCGCCAACGGCGCCATCTGATCCCAGTGCCTCCTGCCGGCAAACACACGGGAAGTTGGGAGACGTGAGCAGAGGTCCAGGTTTCACAGGGGGATGCAGTGACAGGACAGGGGGAATGGCTTTAAACGGAAAGAGGGGAGATTTAGGTTAGATACAAGGAAGAAATTCTTTCCTGTGAGGGTGTTGAGACACTGGCACAGGTGCCCAGAGAAGCTGTGGCTGCCCCATCCTTGGCAGTCTTCAAGGCCAGGTTGGACGGGGCATGGAGCAACCTGGTCTAGTGGAAGATGTCCCTGCCCGTGGCAGGGGTTGGACCTGGATGAAGTTTAAGGTCTCTTCCAACCCAGACCATTCTATGATTCTATGAAATTCAGTGTGGCCGAATAATGTTGTTTGTAAGCAGCGAAATAAATCTCTTCGCTGCCAGAGGCTGGCAAGCATGGCCCCCACCCCAGCTCACCGATCCCATTGCTGTGAGGCTGCGGCTGATGCCACACCTGCTCCATCTGCCTGGCTGTTGGGAGTGCTTCCAGCAGAAAGCACCAAACACTCACTGGCACAGATCTGTGTTTTGTGACACCAAGTCTTTTCCCTACACCCAAATCTCCAGCTAAGACATCACTTTTCCTGCCAGTTCACACAAGTTTTCAATTTAGTAAGAAAAGTTTGGGTTTAGGTACTTTTTAGGAGGGATTTGGAAACTTTCAGGATTTATATAGGGAAAAAAAGAATTTTCTATTAAAATGTTTAGCCTCCATCTAAAATATGTCTTGGAAAGCATTCCAAGGAGCTTTTTCTTACAGGTTAGGAAACCTGCAAGGTGATGCCATCCAATTTACCTGCCCTGTTGCATGTCACCTGGGTGGACAGCCCTACTGCCTGCCGCTGGGGATGACAGTGCTCCCACATCTCTTCTAGGTAGTCGGTGAGGGACATGGTCTGAAGATCAATTCACGTTATAGGGGATAGGGATCCTGAGGTGTTAGAAAAGCTGTAATAAAACAATAAAGTAATCTGTACACTATAGAAGTTTTGATAATGCTGACTAAATATGGTCTGCAGCTGTATTAATTAATTAGGTTAGCCATATTAAAAACTTTCCTTAATTGAACAGTAAAAAGGAGGTACTGAATAATTTCCTGTGTTGACAAAATTTCCAGCTTCTGAATGCTTAAATTAGTTCATAATTTTCTTTGCTGTTATTATATATTGTGTGCTCTATGCTATGTTTAAGTATATAATAAAAAAAAAAACCAGCGTGACCAGCAGGTTGAAGGAGGTGATCCTGCCCCTCTACTCTGCCCTCGCGAGACCTCACTTGGAGTATTGTGTGCAGTTCTGGTGTCCTCAACATAAAAAGGATGTGGAACTGTTGGAGCAAGTCCAGAGGAGGCCACGAGGATGATCACGGGGCTGGAGCAGCTACTGTATGAAGACAGGCTGAGAAAGTTGGGGCTGTTCAGCCTGGAGAAGGCTGCATGGAGACCTCATAGCAGCCTTCCTGTATCTGAAGGGGGCCTATAAGGATGCTGGGGAGGGACTCTTCATTAGGGACTGTAGTGATAGGACAGGGTGTAATGAATTAAAACTTAAATAGGGGAAGTTCAGGTTAGATATAAGGAAGAAGCTCTTTACTGTAAGGGTGGTGAGGCACTGGTGAGGCTGCCCAAAGAAGTGGTAAATGCTCCATCCCTGGCAGTGTTCAAGGCCAGGTTGGGCAGAACCTTGGGTGACATGGTCTAGTGTGAAGGTGGAACTAGAGGATCATAAAGTTCTCTCCAACCCAAACCATTCTATACTTCTATGCTTCTATTAATTGCAAATATGCATGCAGTTATACAGTTGTATGTATACCACATAATTATGCAGTATGGATCTAATTGCATTAGGTACTGTCCATTGTGTATGTATTTGACAATAGTGCTAAAGCTACAAGGCCTCCACCAGGGTTAGAAAACGTGCATTGTGTATTTGTGCACTGGCCACTCCACAGCCTGCTTGTTATGTTACAGGTATGTAACTACTAGAGAAACTGAGATACAGGTGAACATTTGATAGACTATGATACAGAGGCAGTCATTTCTGGAAGCCACTACACTATGAACTGATTTATCCTTCTTTTCCTAAACCCTTTAAAAATGTGATTATTTCAAATTATTTGAGACCTTTTGTTCTTTTCAATTCTTCTGCATCCACTCATTTTTTGATATATGCTTGCTGTTAATGCCACAATTCAGTGATTTTTTTAAAACTTCTTTTGAGAAATAGACATCATTCATCCAGAAAGTAAACTAACTGTAGAGAACTTCATCTCAGTTCCCTTTAATGCAAAGCTGAGAGTGCGAAAGCACAACACACATTATCAGAACGTTATAATTGCAGATTTTGCTTAGCCAGCATTTAAACTCAAAGAAGTTGGGCCATGTTTTAAAGTGCTGTTTAGAAATGATGGATTTACCTATACTTGCACTTTCCACACAAACCTACCAAATGTAAGAATACACAGGACGCAGCAGTACCTGAGCACCTTTCATGGTCTTATCTAAGTATCCTTAAGCACCCAGTAGCACTGCTGTAACATTTGTGCAGTCGGCCTGGAAGTGTCACCAATGGAAGTACTGAGTATGTGAGTTTTTACATCCTGCCCAAATATGCTCTTGTGCAGCATCTGTGAGTAGTGCTAGCCAAGGAATAAGGTACTTGAGCACCTGAGAAGCAGTGAGACAAGGAAACAGTGGTACTTTTTACTGACATTAAAAGTAATGTGCATTTTACATGGCTTTGCATGACTCTAATATTTGCTGAAGATCTGTGCATTAGTTTTCTGGGAAGACATCCATGAGCCTCAAGGTTTTGTAATATTTTAGCACCGCTTCAGGGTGCTTTGACAGTACACAGTGTTACATAATCTTGTTTTATTTGCTTTGATTCTATTGCAAATGGATTATTACCAAATTGTGATGGTAATGAAGATATATATGTTATGTATAGCATATTACATATATTATATGGTACTACATTGGCCCACATTTTATATCCTTTGCATGGATTTTAAAAGGCAGAGTGTACATTTAATCCCAGAGCTGTCTGTGGGTTCAAAGTGATTTGCAAGAGACAGCTCATTCAGAATTGGATGATCAGTGAAATTAATGCCATGCATAATATCCTGGTTGTCTTGGAGTGAACTGATTCAGGGCGCAAATCTGTTGGCTTTGAATGAGTTGCCTCAGACAGAAATATGTGCTGCTATCTTCTTAATGCAAATGAAACACCTGGTGCAAATAAGATGTGTTTAGTTTATTCTAATCTTCACTTTGTCCATGATGGAAAAATCATGTGATAGTTGATTAGTCAGTTTCAGACTGCTCTCCAATCAAACTAGATATACTCAATAGGGTTACCAACACTAAAGTCTCTTTTATTTACTGCCCTGGGCAGTCATGATGATCGCATGCACAAACCATGCCATGACTCATTAAAGACAACCAATTTAAAAGGGTGAGGACACACAGACATCTACCTGTAGTTAAAGAAAGAAGCACTGTCAGTGACCAAACTTTGCACACAAAACTTTTGTGTTTATTTCTGTTTCAACAAGAAAGCAAACATCTAAATTTCTGGTGTTTACTGTCTGGGCTTCATGTCACCCTCACTTCAAGTCACAATCGCATTCTGGAGACATTGCCTCTGTATGGGAGTGAAAATTACAGTAACTTCACTTAAAGTTGTTTAAAGTTTTGGTATCTTAGCATCACCAGATCCGCCTATCCTGTGCATCTGAGGATGACCTGTTTGTTCTTACGCCAACATTGTCCTTTAGCTTAAAGAACTTCTCTCTCCCCAGTGTTTATTATTCTCTGATGTATTTTTAGAGAACAGTCCTATTCCCTCACAGTTTCCTAGCTGGAAAACTGCACTTTTTGCCCTGAATTCCACTGAGGGGTGGTGCAGGGCAACAGTTTGCAGGCAGAACTTGCAGGAGAGTTTTTGCTGAGACCAAATTCCTCCTGGGACACGGAGAAGCACATGGCATGCATTAGGCAAAATGTGTCCATTGTTCCATGCCCAGGCACAGAGCTGCAGAGAACTGCTGCGACGAATTACATCTGATCTAATTTTTCCTGTTCTAGCCTTTTTTTGACAGCTAGAAATTTACTGTTCCATTCACTCTGTGTACTCATGAAGCTATAGCTGGTCTGCAAAGCATGGTAGAGTGAAAGAGTCTACAACATGAAAAATGAGTGTTCTGCTTTTCTGACACTTGTTCACATGTGCAGTAAGTCTTATCTCTTGTTTGTTTTAAAAGTTTCTCTGAGAGTCAGACTCTCTTTTCCACAGAGAACTGGGCAGAGGAAAATCCCAAGAAAATGAACAGTGTTACTGTGGATGTCAATAGTCTGACTGACCGGAATTGAGACTTACATCTTCTAAACTTATGTCCTGGCATAGCTTGCTCTTTTAATGCATGTAACACTGGGTGTATGCCAGGGAAATGAGAAAAATGATCTGCACAGAGGAGGCTTTCCCCCCTGAATAATAATCAGTAATTACTTAAAAATAGCCAATTAATATAAGTTATGACTAAATAGCTTGAGTGTTTGCTCAGCTTTGAAAACCAAAACATACGATTCTCCAAAGTGCTGCAGAGCAGTGCCAGCCCTGCAAGGTTTTTATTACTAGGATTATGACTGAAATATTTTCCAGAATTCCTCTTTTCAGTTTTAGTACCTTAATACTTAGCAACTACCACTAACATTTTAAACTATCGCCTTGCTCACTGTCAGACCTTGGTGCCAAATATGAATTCTGGCAGTCCCTTCCTGCCACACAGGGGAGAAGGTGAAAGGGGAGGAAGCCTGCAGTGTAGATTTAGTGCCAGCAAAACTTCAGGTACAGCAAACTTCATCTTCTGCAGCTGTCCCACTGAATCAACCAGCCCTTGGGAAGCTGCTGAAGTTGGGGAGTCAATAGCCTGAGAAGCTGTGCTGACTCCAGGTCCTTGGTGCTTTCCTTCATCCCACAGGTCCCATAACAATGATGGAAATTTCTGTAGGGTCTTAAGGCCTCTGGCAATGGTTGGTCTCATGGCTCCCCTGGGGCTGGGTAGGGATGGAAGAAATCATCTGTGTCTTCCTTTTTGTCCTTATCTTTTTCATTCATTTCCCTGGTGACTGAGTTTATTGCTACTGGAGGCTCAGTTTGTCCCTCCACAATTTTCATGGAGCAGGAAAAATCAGTTTGCACATAGGCGGATTTGAAGCCACAGCAATAAGGCATCACAGCAATTGGACTATAGCTGAAACTTCATCTTGTTTACCTAAGCATTGATTTCATTCATACTACACAGAATTTCTTTTTGTTACTTCTACGTTTCTGTAGAAGCTCTTTAGGTGCAATTAGGCCTTTAGCAGCCTGTGAAGGCAGTCAGGATTATTCTTAGTTTGAGTTGCCTGGGAGGCTGCTGAAAGTTGATGTCAGCTGGTTTACAGCATTGCTGCCATGGAGTAGTCTCTCAGCAGGTTACATACGGACTGTCCATACCTGTGTAGCTCAGGCCCAGCATAAAACGTGACTTTCTCAGAGAAATGAGTGAATGAAATATCAAATCCATTCTAGCAGATTGGGACTGGGATTTTAGATTCCTCAGTTTGAGTTTAAAAGAAGATTTACCTACCCTTACATAAAGAGCTTGCTGCTCCCCATTCCTGCTGGCCTCTGTGAGCGAAGGGCAGTCATGGGAAGAGATGTCATGCAAGTGCTGTGGTGGTGTTTGCTTCCAAACAACTGTTCCTGTTTCCCCAGGGGCAAAAAGCCCACAGAGCATATATTATATTTTGGAGGATTTGTGCTATCAAGTTCTTTTCCTGGATTCATTTTAGCTGTGTTTGCTGGTCTACTGGTTGCTTATGGAAGCAGCAACTCCATGAAGAAAAACAATTGCTCTATGGAGTCCTGTGTCTTCAGAGCTGGCTCTTCCATGTTAGAAGTGCTGCTTAGCAAAGACTTTTTGGGTTTGCAGAACCAACTTAGTTTTCTTCACACATAGGCTACACTCCCACTAATGAAGTATTACGCAAGGCAAATTGTCTTCAAGAACCTGTACAACTCCATAGTCTTTATATTATGCTCAACTGGCACATCCTTAATCACATTACTTTCATTGGCTTTGCACGTGCAATGAAAAGCAATAAACAATCCTGCTGTACTCAAAAGTAAAATTCAGCTTTTCCATAGCTGTATTCACTTCGTAGGGAAGAAAATAGTGCAGAGTAAAATGACTACATATGTAGTGGTTGTTTTTCAGAGGAGAGGCTCATGATATGTAACACTAAACCCAGACACAGAATTACTACTAGCAATGACCTGGAAAGCAAGTACATATGATTCAGTCTTTTTTTCTTTTTTTTTTTAATTTTTTCCCTCAGAGGATCAGGCAGATGATTTTTTTATTGAATTGTTCTAATTTTAAGCACATTCAATGATACCATTATTATCCTTAAGAAACTCAGGCATTATAGGTACTACTGCATACAGTTGTGTGCTACAGCAAAGGATCATTCCACAGCTAAGGCCTAGAGTGAAGGATCATTATGCAAATACTTGGAGTTTATTCCTTCTTTTTTTCTTTCATATCTGTTTATTTTGTTTGCACTCCTACCCATCAGGGCTCTTAGACAGATCTATGTTTTACAGATTCCTCTTTTAGAATTTTCATTTCATTCATTTTTTTAAGAAGATTGTCTTTGGACTCTGAGAAATGAGCAATGTAAATGTTCGCTAATGACAACTGTGTGGTGGTATTTAATGATTTCTTATACAATCCAGCATGTTTGTGGTATGGTTCCATGCTCATGTACAGAATAAACCCTCAGCCTTCCTTCTTTCTCTCCTAGGCTGAATAAAGGCTGCTCAGATTGCTGTGCCAGCTCAGGTGAAAGGCAAGGCTTGGAGGAGCTGATGGCATGTGCTTTGATCTACAGATGGATGTTAATGATGTCAAAAGACGAAATGAAGCATGTATTCTATAAGGCACACTGAGACTGAACTACCTGTGAGCATCATGCATCACCTATCTTTGCTTTAAGATAGGCAACTTGGGTACTAACACCCTGGCTGTGGCAGAAGGGATCTCAGAAGAGAGCAGTTGCAGTGTACCTGCATGATCAGTCAAACCTGGATTATTTTCTGTGAGCACAGGACAGTCACCAGCTTGACGCGTAAATCTATGCCATACTAAAGGTAGAAATGAATAGTACGAACATATGGTCCACCCAGTCTAATGGAAGGTGTCCCTGCCCATAGCACAGGGTTGGAATTAGCTGATCTTTAAGGTCCCTTCCAACCCAAACCATTCTATGATTCTGTGATAGGCTCCTCAAGTTTTTATCTTGGTTCTGCTTCTTGTACAGGACAGATGCAATTATAAGCAAGCCAGACTTTCTTCATGTGCAAATATTATCTTAATGTGTAAATATTTAAATGAGTAGAGGAAGATATTTATTCTTATCAAACTAAAAATAAACATTTTAGGAGTCCAAACCAGTACTTAATATCCATTTGTCAGGCCTATGAATCCAAATACAAACTGTTTACTATTTCAACAGGCTTTTCCTTTTTCTAACTGGGATTTACCAAACTTTAATTTGCAAAGCTGTGGTGTTTTCTTAATAAATAATTTCTACTTATTGATTCGACTGCCTGAAGAGGTTTCTCTAACTTCTGTGTTTTCTGGAAATTTCATTCTGGTATCAGTATTTGCCCTTCATTGAGTTAAAAAAGAATATACATGCACTGAAATATAATCCATTCTACAGCCTATTTGAGCTGTTACTTATATATTGTACTGCAAAGTATCTGAGAACAAAATGATATATTTTATCAAACCATCTATCAGATATTTCTATTAACTGCAAGTGTGTACTGAAAAGGTACAGTAATGGTTTAATATATCATGAAGACAGACAATGTTTGAATATACATGTTAATCTACATTTTTATGAATTACAAATAAGACAACTATATGTACAACGAACTTGTCTTCTAGTTGCATTGACAATACCAGTTCCTTACACAGTTGAATCTGGTTAAAAGCTCTGTTTCCAGTGTAATAAATGTGACACTGTAGGTACAACATTGACAGCAGAGATGATTAAGGCCCTGTTCTGGTGACTGTTTATTTCTCTGTGTGTACCTCCCCTCCATTCCCCTCTTCTCCCAGTCCCTTCCCACTCAACACACCAGATTTTGTTTTCATACAAAATGAAAAGCTCATTGGTTCCATAGTATTCAGGAAGAAAAGTTTAAGATAAAATATTTTAACCTGAAAGTACTGAAATGTGTAATGAAATGCAGGTTCACAGTAATAGCAATACCTGATACTTACAAAGCTGTTTTAATATTTTTGATTTTTTTTTTTTTTTGGTGTGGCAGAGGAAATTAATATCCACATCCCAGGATGCTAAACACTCTACAACAGGTTGCACACAGAGAAAAGAGTCCAGACTGAAGATCATACAGTCAGATTAGGTTTTAGCAGTCTTTGCGAATTTGGGGAAGAATGATAATCTCTATTTTTGAGATTCAGAAAAAGGTGAGGCACAAAAAGTACAAATGCCTTGCTCAGAAACACACAGTGAAGCAGTGGCAGACTTTAGGGCTGTTGACTCCCCAGCCACCAATTTATTTGTTGACCCATTTTGTCCTCTTGTCAACTAAGAGAAGATCTTGAGATATGCAACATCAGCCTAGCATCATAGGGGGAATCAGCACACAGCCTGATTCTGCACTACCTTTGGCATCTGTAGTCACGTTTACATTGTAAATAGGGCCTAAAATGCCCTCAAATCAAAACTGAGTTGGTGTAAATGACTAATATATGTAGTTTAATAGAGAATCAGGCTCACAGCTGTTGCTTTGTCACATGATGAGACTAGAATTAACTGAATTAAGGCTGACTCCTGTTTATATTAAGGCCTTTGAATCCTTCTATGACAGTGTTAACTGTGCCTCAGTACAAGTGAGACTCAGGCTAGAGGTAATTAACTTTTCAGTTCCCTTTGAAATAAATAATTTTAGTGGTTCTAAATGAATAAAATAACTGGAATAACTATGGAATACTTACAAAAAATATTGTAAAAGTTCCTAAAAGTAACCTCAGGGAAAACCAGTTACATGCTTGTAGGGAAAAAAAAAAAAGAAGAAAAAGTTAGATTAGACAGACTTGTTGCCTGGTATTGAAAATGGAGAATTGTAACATGGTAACACACCTTAGTATGAAGATAACTGGCTTGATGTTTGGTGGCTGTGAGTATGCCCAGATAAACTGTAGATGTTTACCAATTCTGGAGATCAAGTCATCTTGTTACACTACTACAATAAAAGAAATAGACTTATTTGGTATTTAAGTGCTAAACATATAGGGCATAGTTTGCATAAAGCTAGTGTTTGTTATATTCAGAGGAGTAGGAAGATGACCTCACGCCCAATAAAATGCTACATGATCACAGATTTCTCCTATTATTGTTATTAAAAGCTATTATATGTTGCTTTCTCACAATAGAGGTGCTCCTACTTTGCCCACTGTAGCCAAGCATAATCTTAGAAATTTTCTTCTCTCTATTCATAACACTTTTGGTTTTTAAAACCTTCATTTTTGAGACAACAGTTTAACATTTGCTGCCTGAGAATAAACAAGTCCTTGCTCTAGTCAAATTTAAGGCCTGGGTCCCCATTGGTTGCAGCACTTTTGGACTTATTTTTACTTCTTGTTAGAAGTAGATTTATTTTTTAAAGCTAATATGGAATTTGTTTGTGTAAATTAACATAAGCCCTTAGGCATCAGTGTGGCTGTGATAACTGCCCAGCTGAGAGTCCGGCCACCTCCAGCTGAGAGTCCAGTCCAGTGGCTGGGAAATCTGTTCTGTGCATGAGTCACACAAGAGTTGGATCATATGTAATGTTACATCTAGTTTCATTGGCAATTGAGAAAATATTTCATAACAAATTTCATTGCATCTATTCCCCATTTTCATATACAAAAAGTCATCTTTTCTGAAACATTCTTCTTTAGTAAGGCTCGTATTCATAGTCATATCAAAAGTGTTTGCTGTTGGAGCAGTCTTCCAGTTTGCTTTCTTTAGAGTTACCTTTATTATGAAATTCTACAGCATTCTAAACTTCAATGGTCATTAGCAACCCTGCACTTGAGTAAAGAATCACATTTAAAAAGTATAAGGTACAGTATTTTTTTGTTCAAAACTAAGGCAGGATGAACAAAAGTAATGAGCTCCTCTGATCCTCACCTAGCAAGCTTTGATTTTAAACAGTATTCAAAATACAAAGCCCAGGCAAGGATGCTGTCATGATGATTATTGCACTTCTCAGTGTCTTGCTGTAGGATTAGTTTTTCCTTTAGTAAGATATAATTTCTTTTCCTGAAGACCACACGAAGTTATTATACTCTGAAAAGAAAGCAAGCACTTAAAGTTTTATGAAATGATGATCTAGTCAGACGGATTAAAAAAAAACAGATTACCATTCTATGATTCAGCTATGTCATGATCTAATATTGTTTCAAAATTATTATTCTGTTATTTAGGTTAGCATCATTTTCTGAACACGTGACGTGCTCCTTGGCATGCTACAGATTCAGCAGATACACTGTCTTCTGGGCTTTACAGCTTCTTCTGATGAATGCACAACATTTGGAACAAAGCCGCTCTTGACACCTTCCCATCCATCTTGTATTGAGATTTCTCCTTTTTTTACAAGTTCGTAGATGTCTCGTGTAAGAATTGTAAAGGATTCTTCAACATTCGTGGCATCTTTTGCTGAAGTTTCTATATATTTCATACCACAGTCAGATGACAGTTTTTCAGCTTCTTCTCTTGTAACCTCACGCTGTGACACTAAGTCACATTTATGTCCTACTAACAGGAACACAATCTGAAAGGGCTGCACATGCATTTTTGCTTCTTCCAGCCAGTCTTTCACGTGCTCAAAAGATCGTCGATTTGTGATGTCGAACACTAATAGGCCACCCACTGAATTGCGGTAATAAGAGCGTGTTATCGATCTGTGAAGAAAAAAAAAGTGAAAATTGATTTACATTTTCACTTTATTCATAAATGGATCACTTTTCCAAATGGCAATGTGGTTTTATCTACTATAAGTTTTATGAATACCTTTGCTTTTTTAAAACTACTTTGACTTTATTAATTTACCTTCTACACACAAAATGTTCCTTTTTCATTTTGTTTGTACATTCAAAAGTCACTTTCTAAATGTTCTTGAAGCCAACCCCTCTAGTGCAAATTCTGAATGCTGAATTATTCTGCAAAGTACTCTGCATTAGCAAACTGCGGCATATGTTCACAGAATAAAATATATATTTGTCAAATACTTGTTGGTGTTGAAGTCTGAGTCCTTCAGTTCTATACAAATGTGTACTTTGCTTTGTTATAATCAGTTATTTCAAACCAAAATATGGAGGCAGATAATGAGAAACCTGGAGCCTAAGCTTGCCAATGTACAAGCATATCCTTTTGCATTCCCTGCAGAAAAATTCTTAGACAGAAAAGCTTGTAAGGATGATCATAATTCTTTGTGCTTGCAGAAATCAACAAATAACAGACTCAGAAAGGAAATTCCCTAAACAAAACTATCCAAGAGGGACAGAGCTGGGCAAATACAAACTACTTACAGCATTGGCAAGGAACACTTCTACCTCTAGAATCAATCTCACACAGAGGTCCAAGAGCCCTTTATAACTGCAGTTACTCTTTTTTTGGCATGAGAATTCCAGGACTGGCAACAGGTATTTTCTACTTTTGAGCCCTCTGTATTTCAGAGCATCCACTGGAAGGAATTTTGGAAGAGTTGAAAAGATTTTTAATATGCTCTAGACAAAGTGATTCTTAGAATGGAGATAGAGAGAGATACAGGGACTAAAAAATTACTCTACCGTGAGAAGAGGCATTTTAAAGGAAGTGACAGCCTACCAACAAATGGACACAAGCACTCACTACTAGCACAGATAGCCAGTGTATCCATAAGTATTCAAGACCAGGTTGGACGAGGCCTTGGGTGATATGGTTTAGAGGGAGGTGTCCCTGCCCATGGCAGGGAGGTTGGAACTTGATGATCTTAAGGTCCTTTCCAACCCTAACTATTCTATGATTCTATGATTCTCCAGTGGAAATGATATGCACAGTCTCTATTACAGTCATTATTTGAAATTCTAATTTAGCCAATTTAGCATTTCATCTTATGATTATGAAGAAGATGCAGGCTCAAAATTTTTTTTTTGATGAATTGTACACAGTAACATACTTTTCCATGGCAGTAGCTCCTTCTGATTTATAGTTCATCATGCTTCATATAGTGTTTTATAACAGTTTCAACACAGAAATATAATTAGGAGTAGTCATCATATTACAGATAGGTAAGTGGACAGCTGGATAAGCCTTAGGTTTCTTGGCATATATAAATTCATCTAGCCACAGCAAACAACATTTGAAATGGTTTTATTTAGATAACAGGAGGGGTTGTTTGTACTAATGTTTAGAAAGATGTTTTTTACATTCCCAGCAATAAAGTCCATGGAGTGTTTCTCTGAACAGTCTGAAAGTGAAGATAACAGGATCTTACCCTCAGATTAATCCAAGTAGCCTGGATATGAAAAATGACACATGGTTTTGAAAAATTATTTAAGACCATAAATAAGGGGTGTCACATTTTGTGAAGTATTAAATAAAGCTGCCATAAATATCTGCTTTGGGTTTTCTTAAGCATTTTTTCCTGTAGGGCAGCTGCAAACATAACTGAGTACATTAAAATAATTCAAGTGGTTCTAGAAAGAGTGGAAGTGGGTGACAAAAATGGGATTCAATTTGGACAAGTGGAAGCTAATACAACTGATTTGCATTAAAAAAATAATCCTGAAAACAATTATGCCAAAGAAATGCATTATCCAGGGAAGAAAGTAGGTTAATATTGAAAATGCAGTCCATCGTTTACCAAGCATATCTATCTAGAATAATGTTATATCATGTATCTATGAACTGAAGTACTGAAAAACAGCACTCCGTGTGTTGCTGGGTGCTAATACACAGCAGTCAGTAGCCTCACCTGCTGTAACTCACTTCTGCAGAGATATGCTAATTTACACTAACTTACAATCTAAGTCATTATATTGCCTGTAACAGAGATGATTAAAAAGTATTTGTAATTTCAGGTTGTACATCACAAAAACTGGATGAATATATGTAAGAGACAGCAGTTTTTCCTTCTGTGGTTTTGGCATGTATAATTTGAACCCAGTTTTCTCATTACCAAAAAAAGAAGCTTGATAAACTAGAGAGGCCTTAGAAAACAGTAAGAAAAGAAAACCAGCAAAACATACAAGTTTTAAAGAAACCTACGATACCTATGATACCAGTTATGTGATTGTCTAATATGAGAAAAGAATCATAGAATCATTTAGGTTAGGAAAGACCTTTTAAGATCATCAAATCCAGCTGTTAACCCAGCACTGCCAAGTCCACCACTAAACCATGTCCCTTAAGCACCACCTACACATCTTTTAAATATCTTCAGGGATTCTGACTCAACCACTTCCCTGGGCAGCCTGTTCCAATGCTTGACAACCCTTCTGGAGAAGAATTTTTCCCTAATATCCAATTTAAACCTCTCCTGGCACAACTTGAGGCCATTTCCTCTCATATTATCACTTGTTATTTGGGAAAAGGGATTGACACCCACCTTGCTACAACCTCTTTTCAGGTAGTTGTAGGCAGCTATAAGGTCTCCCGAGTCTTCTCTTCTCCAGGCTAAATAACCACAGTTCCCTCAGCCATTCCTCATCAGACTTGTTCTCCAGACCCTTCACCAGCTCCATTGCCTTTCTCTGGTCCCGCTCCAGCACCTCAATGTCTCTCTTGTCCTGAGTGGCCCAGAACTGAAAACAGGATTCGAGGTGTGGCCTCACCAGTGCTGAGCACGGGGGGGATGATCACTGCCCTGGACCTGCTGGACACACTATTTCTGATACAAGCCAGGATGCTGTTGGTTTTCACTTGGGAACAAGCTGGCTCATGTGCAGCTGCTGTTCACTAACACCTCCAGGTGCTTTCCCACCAAGCAGCTTTCTAGCCACTCTTCCCCAAGCCTGTAGCATTGCATGGGGATGTTGTGAACCAAATGCACAACCTGGCACTCTGCCTTGCTGAACCTTATACCATTGGCCACAGCCCATCGATCCAGCCTGTCCAGATCCCTGTGGATGATATTTATTAAAATATGATTGAAAAATATGTCAACAGTTTTATTGCTAAAAAATAATAAAATATATTTTTAAAAGAACATATTCCTGACAAATAAGACAAAATTTTGAAGCAGAAAATTTTGCCCATCAACTGGGAAAAACATCTGGGCCTGTGAATGTGGTGGTTGCTAAAGATTATAGGGCTTTTAAGTGTCTTCCACAAGGCATAACTGTAACACCAACACCTAAAGTTTTGCCCCACTCAGTTGCATATCTAACCTCAGTGCCTGAACAAGTTCCGCTGGGACCTGAGCACTGTGCCCTGTGCAGGCTGCGAGCTGCTCACCAGGGACAGCCCTGCCTTCCCTCTTAGCTCAGCTGAAAACAAACCACTGCTCCAGGTGAGTGCCTGGAAGGGTTCTGCCTGAGAGGGCTTCCCAAGAGCATGTCAGCACGCTCAGATGGGTTCAAGCTCCTCACAAAATGCAGAACTTTCTCTTAGCACAGTGGAGGTACCTATCTTTCTAATCTATACACAGATTCCTTGTACGCTACTTCACAAGGCACAAGTCAGTGTTCATGGAGCCCATGGTACAAGAGGTTGCTTGAGGGGTTTTGCTCAGAAGACGTAAAGCTTTATAGACTTTACAGGCATATGTCTTCACTGCAAAGCTTGATGATAAGAGTGCATGGTGGCCAACGGGAGATAAAGGCTAACTAGCTGTAAAAGGCTCATCATGCAACAGCTGGTAAACTTATAGTTCTCCTGAGGAAAGATGTTATGAATAGAGAGTTTATCACTATTCCATGGAAGACTGAACAATTCCTGAACAAGAGACTGGCTGAACTCTAGCAAATAGACAAAATGCATCAATTTCCAGAAGTCCCTCAAGTGAAAGTAGAAGATAACAAATTCAAACATCCTGTCATAGACAAGATATCCAAGCATGGACCATACACAAAATCTGATTGGCCTTTCTTGTGTTCTTTCACAAGCAGGGAATCTACTTGCATTTTCATACACACTTTGGAAGTGTTGCAAGATCGGACTCTAAAAGTAAAATTAAGCATTTAATTCCTTTACTGTTGTCCCTTTTTGAACAGAAGGAAAACAATCCTAGGGTCCTGCAAGGTTTTCAAGTCAGGATGAGGAACTGGTGACGGGTCAGGTTTGATGTAGTCCAACATATTCATAAAGGATATTTAAATTTCCACTTATAAATCATCCCCATGCAGATCCTAAATTCCTGTGAAACAATGGCTTCTTCTGTAACCTTTGATTCAGGTCATTACTGTTGTTAGGCTAGCGTTATGGAAGGGAATGTGTTACTTGCAGCAGCATGATTTATTTTCTGTGGGGAAGGAGGAAGAGAGAAGTACTTCCTTTAAAGAGGGAAAACATTAAGTTAGGGAAAGGGTGGGATTGGGGTGAAGAAGTAATGGTCAGAGAGCAGCCTTTCTTCTAAAACTGGGGAGACAGCAATGAAGCCTGCCATCTCCTTCCAAGAAACTGTTCAGAGGAGGTGCTGGCTGGAAGTGAGAAGCAGAACTTTGTTCAGATTTAGAACCTGGCAAACCTGTCCATGACCTGGAATGAAAGGGGGACTGAGCTATGAAATCCATCCCTGCACCTGTCTTTATTCACACCTCTGCCTAAACTTTTGGTTTTCTTCTATTCCTTTGTGCCCAGTACTTTCTTGCTGCCTCCTCTCTCAGCCACTCTTTCACAGAAGACCCTGAACTATAGCTAATGGAAGTGCCCAAACCAGTGTATCTGCCTGGGCCTTTGTTTAAGGTGCACACTGTATTTCAGGAGGGAGTTTGCCTACTTCCCATTGCTACACTAAATGAAGGGAAACAATCCTCCTACTTAATAGAGGTGACTGTAAACAGAGGCCTACAGTGCCTGTGCAGCTCCTCTTCTCAGCTGTCCTGAGAGCAACTGATGATGGGTGTGCTACAGCCTCCAGCATGTCCACACTAAATATGTGAACTATTATACATCATTGACTGAAAATCACAAACACTGACGTAAGCATTATTGAAAAGGTAATTCTTATCTTCTCTGCTACTCCACATAAATAGAGATTACAAATCTCCTTACCTGAGATATTGTTAAGTATGGACTGTCCCAGCATCCTTAAGACCATCTTAAGTTTTTATTTTCAGCAAGGATACTTGTATAAATAACATTTTTGCTCATTTCATATAATGCTTGGCACTTGTAATAAATGAAAGGTAAATACAGATAAAGGGTTGGAAAAAATCATATTTTCCCTATGACAACATGCTAAAAAGGTAAGACCGCACCAAGTATTAAGAGGGTACAACAACACTTTGATATTGAATGCTGTGAGGTTCCTCCAGATGGTTCTATATTTGAAATTGCTGGAGGTGAGACTGGTCCTTAAGAAGTTGTACTTTATGATGTGCAGTAATGATACTTAGAACGTTCTTCCAAAGGACAGCTTTGAAGTCTCTACCTTTAATTGGGAATATTTGTTAAATGCAGATCTTAAATTCTTTTGTAAATTATGGCTTTCCATGCAGAGTACGTGTTGGTTCCACTAATTAATTCTGCCTAAACTACCATTATGGAAGGGGAAAATACTGTCTAGGACAGAAGTCATCCTTTTAGCTTAATGTCAGGTTCAAGATGTAAGACCCTAATGAATACTCTCAAGAAAAGCCTTAGTGATGGCCACTGAACAACTGTTTCTGAAAATGAAGGTGTACTAATCACATCAGCCTGTGGCTTGAGGGTGACTTTAAACCAGTCACAGTGTTTCTTTCTTGATATGACCTTGCTGATCTTTACCAGATGAATCAAACTTTCACTAAAAGCTTTATCTAATTTTGAAGACTTATTTTTGTACTATGACTAAAGACTACATCATAATGGTAACAATTTTGATAATACATGTTGCTTACTCCAAAAGAATAAGGACAGTGTTTTACTTTCAAGCCATGTTTTAGAACGGAACATACCCAATATCACAGTCTACTATTAGTTAATATAATTGAGGCATCCCCACAATATTTTTTCCCTGTGTTCTTGAAATGAGCTCTCAGTCTTAGCATCACTACCAAGCACTTCATAGCCTTTGGAGAGTTTTATAATTTAAATATATTGTTGAATTTAAATACAGGAAAATAAACAAACAAATAAATCACAGCAAAGTAGAAAATGTGGAACACAGCCAAAGCAGTAGATTGCTCTCAATGACAGCTAACCACAAGACAGAAAGAAACATAGGGTATCCCCCTCATTTACCTTAGCCTGCATTGCTGACCTAAGTCTGCACTAAGCAAATCTGCAGGTTCTTATTCTAGAAAGGTGTTTGATTAAGTTGTTGATTATGTTGTTGGTGTCCATATGGCACCTCGCCCAATGGGAGATGCTGCTTAGTGATGTCTACCCATACCAAAGTAAATACAGTCATTAACTGCCCTGTCTGGGCTCACAATAAACAAACTGTTCTGCACCAGCATTTGCAGCTTACTCATCCTTCTTGTGGAAGTGGTGAGAATGACCTTGTTTGAGAAGTAACGTAAACAGTATGTGTTAAAGATGATTTCTAAGACCAAACTAAGTTCAACTACAGCACCAGCAATGAACTACACACATGTAAGAATTTTTCCAAAACAATTTCTCCAAGGAAATAAGTGCACTCTTTCAAGAGCATGATGGCAGGTGTGTCACACCTTAATTGTCCCCAGGGAATGTCACTAATGCCTGGAATCAAACGAAGGGAGTTATTATGCAGCCAGTAGCTTGTTCTGGATGCAAGGAACTCCACAGGCAGGTTTAAAGCCAGTTTTTAACTCCTATGAAGTCCCACTGCAAGTAGCAGAGCAGAACAGGGAACAGAACTGCAGTATGCCTGGTGTTCCACAAAATTAGATTACTTCTTGGAATAATTAGCTCTTCCCCAAGATCATCTTTGCTGGTGATCTGTAGTTTTCTCCATTAACAGAGAGGAGAATGTGCAATATTTTAACCTGCGGTGTGTAACTTAGTATAATTTTTATAATTTACTGGACTAAGTGTAAAACAGACTACACAATAAATGCTGATATTTGATACAGCAACTGACAAGAAACTCTAGGCAGAAACACAAACACAATTGTTTAAAACTACTTCTTTCAGTTTGCAGGGTCTGGGTATTAGAAAAAAACACAGATGATTTACCATTTACTAATGGTAAATTTAAAAGCAACTGACTGCATGACTCATCACTGCACATCCCCTGAGCATCCCCAGGTTAAAGGATGGCTATCATTTGATTTTAATTGTATGCAAAACTCTACATTTGAACTCCTTTCGATCAAGTGCCTTGTCATTGGCCACCCCGACTATTTGTCAGCAAATTCAAACTAAAGAGGTCACATGTTCTTAGTTACTTGTTTGTAACTATTTTACTTACATTGCTGGAAAGCACAAGGAGGGTGAAAAATGCTAAGAGCTTGGTATTATCACCGTTCATTACTTTGCTAACCCTTCAGAGGCCTGTCTGCAAAAGCATTCATACAAAAAGACTTACAAAGTTGTGACTCATGCCAGCTCAGGGAAGTTTTTTGTTGTTTCACTGCAATGCTTGTTATTGGAAAACAAAAAGGTTGGAGTGCCCTGGTAAAACAGTGAAATCCCAAATCCCACCTCCTCAGCTGAGTGTGAGAACAGTTGTTCAACAACTGTTGCAACTGAACACAGGGAACACGAAAGAACCAGTTCTGGCCAGTGAGAAGACCTGTTTCAGCCCTCCTGCTAGCACCCAGACAGTGTGTGGGTCAGGTACCACGCATTAGCCTTCCACCTGAGCTCATATCTACAGAACCACAAGCCCAAAATGAAATCCACACACAACTTGCCTCAGGTGACAAGCACCACAGACAGAGCAGAGCCACAAGAGTGGGGGAGTGGTAGTACCAGTTTGCATGTTGGGGAATGACCACGACTCTTTGGAGAGCAGGAAAAGGGTTTGTTTGAGACAGTGAGGAGAAAGGAGAGGATTTAATACTCAGTGCAGCATTTGAGGTAGTTTAGCTATACTATGACAGAGGTGTTAGTGAAGGCTTCTGGCAACCATCAGTGCAGAGCAGGTGCAGAAGGCAGATAAGGCACTAACAATGGTCTGTAGCTGGCTGGGCAGTGGTTTCCAGGCCACGGAGGCTGTGCTGGAAGGGGTAAGAACAGGGAGGTGACCTGCTCTCTCCAGATCACATGGGAGGAAGAGTTAATGGCAGAGGGAAATACTGCAGGGAAGGCCAAGTTCGGAGGTGATGACAAAGTAAGAAATGCAGAGTGAAGCAGGGGCCTCCTGCTGCAAAGAGGGAAGAAAATGTGGAGAAGGGATTGCTACCCTAGGTCCAGGGCTTCAGGGCAGAGATGGGGGAGGGAAGGAGAAACAGGACAAGGCCACTTGTTACCCCCTCGTGTGAGCTGGGAGGGGAAGGGTAGCTGTTCCCTGGTGGGTGTGAAGGGAAAGGGTAGGGAAGGAGGAAGCTCCTGGCTGGGGGTGAGGGGGCACCATCAGGCAGTGAGGCTGGATGGCAGTGGGGTGGTGCAGGGCTTGTTGGGGCACAGCAGCCAGGTGGATGTACTGAGATGTGCCGGGGACAAGGCGAAGTCCTGGGAACAGGAGGTGTGCCGGACGACGAGGATACGGGCCAGGCTGCGGACGGGGTGTGCCTGGGGTCCAGCAGGTTTGGGGGGCGACGGTAGAGGATGGGGGGGGAGGGAGGGGGGAAATCCTGGCTCCTGTACCTGAACCGCTCCTGCCCCGCTGTGTCCCAGAGCTGAAGCTTGACCCTCTTGCCGGGCTCGATCTCCACCAGCCGGGAGAAGAAGTCCACCCCCACGGTGGGGTCGGAGTGCAGCGGCCCCGGGAAGCGGCCCTCGGTAAAGCGGTGCAAAAGGCAGGACTTGCCCACGGTGGAGTCGCCCAGCACGATCAGCCGGAACTGGTAGATCCAAATCGCCGCGTCCATGGCGGCCCCGGCCTGGCCCGGCTCCACCTTGGGGCTCTTCCTGGGGCTCCTGCGCGGCCGGTGCCTGCACCGCGCTCCGACCGCCCCAACGCCCGGCATCGGCGCAGCGGGCGCAGGGGAGCTGCTCCCGCGGGTGCAGGACGGGGCCGCGGGGCCGGCCGCGCCGGGCAGGGCGGTGGCTGGCGGGCGGAGGCCGGGTCCCCCCGCCCCGCTCCTGGGGCTCCCACTGGCGGCCCGGGCGGGGCGGGACGGGCGGTGCCCGCGGGCGCTGTCCCTTCAGCACCGCGCTGCCCCGCTCCCGCCACCGGACCCGGCTGCCCCCGGCGCTCCAGCCGCGGAGTGCGCGGTCTGCCCGCCCCTCACTCCCGCTCTGCGGTGGCGCGGCCAGCCCGGCCCTCTCCCGCGGCGCGGCGGCGGACAGCGAGGTTAGCTCGGCCCCGCATCGCGGCGGGCTCTGCGGAAGGGAGCTGCGGCGGGGACGCTGCCCTGCGGCTGCCGCCCGTGCCCAGGGTCCAGCTCACCCAGCAGAACAGCTCCTCCCGCGGGCAACAAGTGTAGGGATGGTCCAGGAGAACGGGGGTGCTGGGGGAGTGGCGGATCAGGCCGAGATGGAAAATCGGGTGAGAAAGAACCGGGCTGTTAAAGAGTGAGATCTGCGAAGAAAAGTGGGAGGCCAAAGGAAGTACTGGTGAAGGAGTGGAGGAATCAGATCGGCTGGAGACAAAGGGGCAAGGAGGTGAAAGGCAGCTGCCGGGGGCCGGGATATGGGGAGAGGCTGCCTGCTGGAGTTCGAGCTGGAAAACAGATAGACCAACAAGCAGAGGAACGTGCCAAACGGTAAAGTTGGGCTGGGCAAGTGGCGAAAGGGAAAAGTGTTAGTGATCTAGATACTCCCAGACAGAACCATGCAAAGTGGCTTGAGAAAAGGCATAATACTGGAAATGACAGGGACACACACTTTTCATTTCCCAGTGGAACAAAGTGAATGTATCAGGCCTCTGTGAAAGTACCTTTATCTATGGCAATAGAACAATTCTGTCAGTAGAGATGCTTGCTGGAGAAATGTCTTTGCCCCTCCTGGGAGCTTTAGCCAAGTATCATGTTATGACAAATCTGCTGAGCAATAGATTCCTCAGATTTCTTTTGAAGTCTGAGAACCACATGGGATAACAATCACTAACAGCCCTCAGATGGCTGGTAAATGCATTAGAGCCAAATAAGCAGAAATCCCAGGACTTCTGGTAAACAGAACTGCAGCAGCTGCTTCTGCAGATTGGGCTGTGGTGAGGGAGCCCCACGGGGGCAGAGAGCCTGAGAACCCAGCAGAGTAGGTTGGGATGAGCTGGGAAGTAGGTTGTTGCTAGCAGGTCATCAGCAAGTGGACACTCATATGAATGGGCACTTTGACACTGGAAAGGACAGGGAGAGAAGATGCGTGACATTTTTTATCACACAGCCTGCTGTTTCCCTCTGTTAAAGTCAGGCACAGATGCAACTAAAATCATAACTGCCTGTGGCTGCTTAGGGGCATACCTGAATCCACATTTGTTTTGTAACTGTGAGAAGCAGTTTGTTATGATGAGTATTCTTATTGCCTGAGTCTGGTTTTGTTGTTACTTCAATGTGTTACATGGTCAGTTTTGCCCTCTAAGTTCGGTTAGACCTTGCAGTATGGATGAGAGAGACTAAGGGCACCTTGGCCTTCACCTGACCAAATGCAGGGTGGAGTGAGAAGAGGGGTTTGCATGCACCAGTCAGGAGACCATGTCCTCCAGCCCCAGAATGAGTCTGGCTGTGATATGCACATGTGGCTGGCCCTGACAGACTTGCTCAGGTGACCCTAGAGGCTTCCAGCAGAGGAATAGCCTGGCAGCCCAGAATGTGTAAAAGGCACAGCCAGGAGCTGCCAGAGAGATTTATCTTGTGCACACTGAGCTGAAGCTGAAGGATGCTGCCTGCTCCAGGAATCTGGACTCCACAGGGACCTTTTGAGCTGGCCAGTCAGTTCCCAGGACTTCATGATTGTGTGTCTGTGTGTGTCTCTGAGTGTGCTTCCTCCTGAACCCTGCTCATTTCTCCCCCCTACTTTCACCCATTCTTGTAAAAAATAACTTGAACATAGCTTTGTCTTGACTAGTTGCTCCTTTGAGTAACAACAACCTTAACTCAGATAAATGAACCTTCAGAAAGGTAAAATAAGCGCAGATCTTGCAGCTTTACATGAGAGATGATTACAGGTAATTCCTAGGATCTCTTCTAAGTGTTCTGACAAAAGTAGCACTTAGATACAGGAAGTATTTGCATGTTTGAAACAGAGATGTGAAGGTGGTGATGCACTGGCACAGGTTGCCCAGAGAAGCTGTGGCTGCCCCATCCCTTGCAGTGTTCAAGGCGAGGTTGAATGGTGCTTGGAGCAACTTGCTCTAGTGGCAGGTGTCCCTGCCTGTGGCAGGGGGTTGGAACTAGATGATCTTCAAGGTTCCTTCCAACCCAAACCTTTCTACAATTCTATGACTCTATATGGTATCAGCAGCTCTGAAAGCGCACTAAATATGCTTGTAAATATTTCCAGGCTTCCAAAGTCTGCTCTGTCTACCTAAGCTTGTTATTGTAGAAAGCCAATGGTATATAAATCCACATATATCCAAAGCACAACCTTATACCTTCATTTGGGACCTTTTGAGTGTCAGATGTTAAATGCTACCTAGTGAACATGCATTTGTTGTGTCTACTATGGCATGGACAAGGTGGGTGAATTTTATCTCCAAGTCATTCAGTTTTTGTTAGTTTAGCAGTGAGTTCAGAGGCCCTGACAGCATGCAGTCCACCACAGTAGTCTCTGACCAGCAGGCAGAAGCAGCGATCAAAAATGAGTATGCTTTGAGGAGCTGGAATATTTAAAGTGGAGTGGTTAAAGCAGCAACATGAACCTGACTTCCCTTCAGACACTTTCCACTACTTGGGCATTGGCAACCTGAATCTGCTCTTCCCATGAAGGGTAAAAAAAAATTCTGAATTCTAGGAAACAATAAAAAAGCCAAACAAACCCAAACTTCCAAACCCACTGCATTATTAGCTAAATGACTGTACTAAGTCATAAATCCAAGACCTTTCAATCTAAAAAATCCTTATTTCTTATCACATTTATGATTTGCCATGGATTTTTATCAACCTTTGGTAAGTAGGTAGGTCACCAAGGATAACTCCTGAAGCTCCTGAAGAATGTGCACACATGATTAAATGAAAGTCTGCAGAAACACAGATGAAAGTTAATTGATTCTCAACCCCAATCAGCCTCAGACTGAAAAACTATGTGTTCTGCTGCCACCCAAAAACCTAAGAGAACTGAGTGACCAGTCTGGAAGAAAGATCCTATCCTTGCCTGTTTTAATCGCCTAGGCTATTGGTCTGGAGGCTGATAGAGCTGCCAATTTTATCACAGAGTAAGTTTCAATAGAAGTAAAGAGCTCTTCACATATGAAGGAGAAAGGAATATTCTCGAAAACATGGCAGGTGTTATTAGCTTCTATCAGTTGATGTTATTATTAATGACATCCTGTATAGATTTCAACAAATAAATGGTTTGTGAGTGTAGTTTTATAATGTCCTACATCTCTATGTGCTAATATGGTTGTTCACTCAAATGTACACTCTGACCTCTTAGAAGATGTTCTTGTTTGATGAGGGTGTTCCTTATGTTAAGACAGATATGTGTATGGCAGAGCATAGCATATACCTTAGGGGAAAAAAGCCGCGCAACTGAGTCATCAAAATCCATGGGTTTATAGATAATAAATATCTAAAAAGATATCTAAATAAGTATCTATCTACATACAGATCCACTTTGTTCATGAGACATTCAAATAGTTCTGTGGAGATGATGCAAGTGAAATTACTCCACAGCAAAATGAACTCACAGAGGCAGTCAGTGAAAAACAGAAACACACAGATAGGACAAGGAAATCTTCTAACTCCTCAGACCCGATCTTCCAGAAGGACTCACACCAGAACTTCAAAGACAACCTTGGGAACTAAAAGTAATAACTTTTCAGAATATTTGAACCAAACTTAATAAGCATTTTATAACCATTAAATATTTTTATACTTTCCCTCACATCTCAGCAACTGTTAAGCCATCCCTGTTCTACACAGGTTAACAACCTATATCTGATCTACAGATCCAGTCTCACCCCTCTTTGCCAACTATCTCCTCCCACAAAATGTTGGTAGTATTATGTTAGTGCAATGACTTCTAGCTTGACGTTTGCTGTGTCTAGATTAGATGTACAAGAATTGTATTTCCTTCTCAAACATCCATTTACTCCAGTGTAATAGATGGTATGTATCGCTGCAAATCTTGCCGTCATAGACATCTAAGACAGCATCTTATATTGTCACAGTTACAGAAGCATATCTAACTCAGTATAGTGTCAGGAAATTACAGGATCATGAAACCTGCTCCACTGAAATACTGAACTGAATTAATGCACATTGACATTTCAGAGTTAATGCCTAAACTGTGTAAGAATCTGTCTAGGTGAGTTTAAGACTGCCTTTATATGAGGCTAAGAACCAAACCCAAACCAGCAATTTATTCTACTACGTAAAATAAGTTAAGTATTTGTTCTCCTTTCCTCCTTCTTGTCATTTATCAATCTTATACTTCACTTTGATTTGTTGTTTGGAATGACTCCTTCTAGTCATTCTTTGCTCTGATGAAGTCCATCTCCTACATCTCTTTTCTGTTTGGGAAATGCTGATGTGTGAAACCACATAGATTTCCCCTAACAAAGAATACTCTTTGAGCTTTGTGCCATGGAACCTTTGTGCACATTGATCAAAGAGGTACTTTTTCTGTAAGGACTGCATCTCTGAGGAAACCCTACAATTCATTGCCCCCTGTGATGGTCATCTGTTTTTTCCAGATTCCCACTTTTGTCCCAGATGCATTCTCTGATAATTTCTGAAGAGGAGTATTATTTCTCTGTCCTGTCCAGTGCCTGCAACAAAGGCAGAGAAGACACTGATAGGTAAATGTAATCACTGAGTTAATTCAGACAAGTCACCCTCCACTCTGCAAAAATTAAACAAAGAATTTT